GCTACACTTACAACCCAGCCTTTGTCCTGATTTTTTCAACTTCCACAAAGAAATTTTCAAAGTCATGGGAATATATCATAACCACCTGCATCTAGCTCGAGTGGTTGGTAAAGTGGAAGGACGGTAAAGTGGAAGGACGAGCTCCTAAAGGGGCCCTTTCTGGAAATCGCCTATTTGTGTTCACACCCACTGTCTAATCAGGACATTCTGTTTATGCCATCCTACTTAAAGTGAGCCCTCTACCTACCTACAAGAGAACTCCTGGCATGGAGGAAGGAGGGCTGCTGGCTGCTGTGTCCTGGGGAGTCTGTGGCAGAAGTTGGTGTTTCTCAGGAGGTAGAGGGAAGAGGGGTAGGCCAGGACCCTGAGAAGGGTAGGTATCTGGGCAGATTTTGTTTAGAAGGTGGCTTGAGCAGAATCTTAAATTTCAACAGCAAGACATGGATGGAGTCTTTTCTGGGCATGAAAGCAAGGAGATCTTTGTCTAAAGGACAAGCACAAGGGGCAGCCTGGTAGTTTCCTTGGGCTGGAGCATAGAATACATGAAGAAGAAGAATATAAAATAGGGTTAAATGTGTACATTTGAATTAGATCAGCAAGGGCTTTAAATGCCCGGTTGGGGCATTTCTTCCTATACAAACAATAAAAGCTAGTGAAAGTTTTTGAGAAGGGGAGTGATGATGGTCAGTCCTGTGTATTCAGAAGATTAATTTGATGGCTCTGTGAAGAATGAATTGGAGAGTGGAAAGACTGGTGGTGTTAGTCTATGTCACATAATCTTGTGATATATTTCCATGTATTATTACGTAAGGGTTTCCATGTTCACTCTGCAACTAGATTATAAACTCCTGAAGCACAGGGACACTGTGTCTTCTACTTGCTTTGTATTTCCTCCCTGTCTACCAGTTCCTAGCACAGCTGTGAGCCCTTAATAAATTCTGCCGATGTCCTAGGGCTTGCTATTCATTCCCATGTGCCTGGTGCCCAAGGTGGGAGATCTTTGTGTCCCAAAGTCCCCTGCCTTTGACGGCCTGCCAGGACTACCCTAAAGACAGTGAACACACTCTCTCTGGAAAAATCCTTTCCAGGCAGAAGTGTTGTATGTATTCTGCCCTGGCATCTCTGGCATCTCTCCTCAGGTCGAGTAACTGAGTATCTTGTGCTGCATGTAAAGCTACTGGACTGAGCCCACTGTTGAGCAGGCATTTCTCTCTTTTTCGGAGCTGGAATTTCATTGTCCCACCAGAAGTCCCCAGAGAAAGGGATTGATTTCTGGCCAGTGCACATGTTTAACTCCCTAGCATGAGAACTCTACTTTCAACTTTCTGGCTTCTTTTGTTTTGCCTGCAGTGTTTGCCAATTTATATGTATAGAAACACCTCTGAGGTTGGATCAGGCTTTGCATAAGGTGACTGCTAACCAGAGAACCTTCCCCAGCTAACCTGTTTAGTACCTGCCAGTCAGTCACCATTAGAAGAGTTCTCAAGGTGGAGGAGTAGCTGGGAGGGAGCCTTGTTGACTGCTAGAATGAGATCAGAACCCTTTCTTGGGGAGGATAAGGAGGGACTGAGTCACATGCTAAGGGAAGACAGTCAGCATATGTCATTACATCACAGGAGCCTTCTGCCTCTTCTGGCCTTTACTGAGTGGAGTCCAGCTGTGTGATGAGTGAGGGGCACAACTCTGTAGTACTGGACCCTGTCTGATACAGAAGTAAAACACTTGGACCTTTGGTGGTGGTGGTGTATCATTCTCCCTCCTCCACAATGCTGCTGGCATTGTCAGTTTTTGCAGGAGATTCCCAGCTTGGCCCAGCTTTGTTCAAATTAACTTTACCCTATAGCAGTCTGGTGAAACCTATGGACCGCTTCTCAGAATAATGTCTATGTTAATTAAACACTGAGGATTATAAAGGAAACCAATTACATTGAAATCAAGATGTAAATTTGTTTTCCCTCCAATTTGGCAAACCCCAGATTAAGAACTCACTGACCTGGAGTAATACCACCACCCACTTGGTTAGAGTAATGCATTTTTCTTTATTTTTTGTTATGAATTTAACAGTGTCCAGCTAACACAAACATTCTAGTATGTAAAGAACAGGAAAAAAAATTGTATGTAAAATCACGAACTTCTGTTGCTTAGAATTTGAGTGTTAATTTGAACAAAGGAGTAACATTATCCTGTTTGTGCCTTTTTCTGAACTTTTTTCTCTGTGTTGTTTTAAATGTTTTGTTGATGTCAGAAATGGTGTTCTGGCTGCCATCACCTCAACATCCCTGTGCTGGCCCCTGTCACCTTTTGTTTCCAAAGGCACCATCTCGAGAATACATTTGGATTAACTCTCTTTTAAGAGCCAGGGATAGCTGCAGCAGCCGCCCAGAGGAGAAGATGTCACATTCCTGTGTCTCTCTGTTTCCCCCACCTCCCCATTATTGCCTCACTAAGTGAAGCCAGACCCCAGTAGAGTTCATTCACAGCAGCTAAATAACAGGACAGCAGAAGAGGGAGGTATGGCGGTTAGAGTTCTGGTTACTTCTGAGCCAGAAAGCAGTGAAATCCCTGTGCGCCCGCAGCAAGCCAGAGCACAGCCTCGGCGAGGAGCTAGCTGCGAATAGATAGCCCCTACCTCTAATCTTAGATTGGCTCTCTCATTCTAGCCCTGGCAGGGGAGGCTCCCTTTTAGGAGATGTTAGCATTGAGGCCACACACCCACACGTGCACACACATACATAGCTGGTACCCGGGCTGTCGCTGCCTTGCCAGGGACTCTGTGTAGTCTTGAATCTTTTAAGACTTTGGAGGCACTGCTGGGAGTGTTGCCCACAGAAATCTCTGTACCCTGTTCTTAAGTGGCAAATACAAGAATAATGTGGGTTCCCAATGATGATAGACTATCCCTTGGGACCATACTTCTAGGCTGCTGAAGTGCTGATGCAATACCTACAAATGAACTTCAGAGGTTAGAATTAGCATGCAGCAGTATGTTCTCGTTTGTCTCAAAAGGCTCTTTCCCCAAGACCCAGTTTCTACAAACAGATTGCAACAGGTGCCACCAGTGTAGGAAGCATTGAGTGCCCCCTTCATCCTTGCAGCAAGCGCTAGTGTGCTTTCAGTCTCTGCCTAGGATGCCTGGCTCTGCTTGAAATAACATGGTACCAATAAGCTGTTAGGAAAGGGAGACTCTGTGCTGCCCCGCAGCCGGGCCTAGCAGCTGGTTTTTATCTATCTGTTACCTTCCTTCCTGCTGCCCGTACTTTGAAACAGGTTTCCTATTCTATTGTTCTAATTGAATCTCAGCGGCCTTGAATGGGGTGGAGTGAGGGGTAAAGGTACGGTGTGTGGCAGCAGCGTATTGGGCTGTTCCCGCTCATCTCTGTTGAAACAGCTCTCATCAAACTGCTGTCTAGACAGTGTTTTGTATAAAGGCAGCGTTTGCACAGATGTACCAGGGCCTCTGTGGGAGTCTCTAAGGAGAAGAGTAATTCCTGTTTCTGGGACTAGTGCACCAGACAAGGTATTCAAATCTGATTATTACCAGTTGTCCAGGGCGGGGGGGGGGGGATTGCCAAAATCTCTTAAAAATGGTATCCTGACCATTTTTAGTCCCCATGGTGGGGTAGGGAGGGTAATCCATCTCTGACTGTGGTGTATGTGTCTGAGGAATTCCTAGCTAGCTCCTGATGCCCATGGCTGGCAGCATCTTAGGCAGCTGGGAAATTAGTCTGTGTGTTGTCTTTGTCATAGGTAAAGTAAGTTAAATTTCTCTACAGCATTTTAGAGGTGAAAAGGCTCTTAGCAACCCCTCATTTTACAAGTGAAAAACTTAATCCCAGAGAAATGAAGTGACCTGTCCCAGTATATCAAGTAGTCTACTGCTGACTTTTTTGCTTGGCTGGGAGGCAGGTGCTGTTATTATCCCCATTTTACAGATGAGGAAACTGAGGTAGAAAGAGGTTAAGTGACTTGCCCCAAGGTCACCCAGTCTAGTGTCTGAGCCTGGATTTGAGTCTTCCTGACTGCAGGCTTGAAGCTCTAGCCACTGCACCACCTAGCTGCTCCCTAGCGCCCCCTAGCAGCTCCCATTTCAAAATATTGGTGGTCGCCAGTATTAGGTAAGTTTTCTTCATTCAGGCGACTGAAAAAACCCAGATTAGGGTTCAAATTCAATGTAAAGAAACATTTATACTGGTAAGCTTCTTAGTTTAGCTCTACCCATATTTTTTTTTAATTTTCAAGTTATGCTCTGAACTTCTCTGTGTGTATGGTTTTAGTAGAGTGAAGTAGATTTATCTTTAAAATGCTGAGTTCTCTTTTAAATGAGGCCTTTTATGAATATCACCAAAATCTACCAGATATAGACCTGTGAGTTCAGGTGAATCAAGGAAAGGCTTCAATAGATGTGTTCCCTCTTTGGCCCAAATACTGTGGGTACTAGCTTTCTCTTTTAGAGGCAGGGCCCATATTTGTAAACTAAAATTGCTACTAATAGTAATAATAATAATAATAATAATAATAACCAGAGCTCAAGTTTATATAGTAATTTGCAATTTACATGGTCCTTTCCTCACAACAGTCGAGTGAGGTAGAGAATACAAATGTTATCCCCAATTTAAAGAAGAAACTAGGACTCGTGAGCAATACACAACTTGTAAATGTTGGCACTGGGATTAGGCTCAGATCTTCTGGTTCCCGGACCCAGCCTCATACTGCCTTCAGCATCTGCAGAAATCTCCTTCATTGCATGGCAGACACCTGGCATCATTCAGCAGGTGCTGCTTTTCCTGCCTCTGTGGCCAAATTCTCCCTTTCTGACTTGCAGGCATCTTTAGCCCCCTGTTAATCCTTTGCTTTTTGTCAGAGAGTACTGCCTCTGTACCAGAGAAAGAGGAGGTGGCTTCCTGATACATTGCCAAGTCAGAGGCTTGTGTTATCCCCAAGTCTGGGGAATGAGCTGACTTAGTCATTCATTGTGGGGGGATCTCTTCTTTCTCTTCCAGAGCTGAGGATGAAGCGGAGAGCATCAGACAGAGGAGCTGGGGAAACGTCTGCTCGGGCAAAGGCTCTTGGAATAGCATTTCTGGGAATAATGCAAAGAGAGCTGGGCCATTTATCTTAGGTAAGTCACACTCAGATTTCTCAGTTTTCTCTCGAGCAGGCTGGCTTACAGCCTGTTCCATGTGCTGACTGAATGAAGTAACAAGATAGCAGCAGTGTTCTCATATGAGCTCGTGTTCAGACCTTGTGGGTTCAGTCACATCATTATCAGGGCTCCTGTAGTAAACTAAAGGTTGTTTGTTTGATTTTCATTTTCTCAGGGGAATTGTGAGGTGTTAAGTTAGTAGATATTTGAAACTGAATACCTTCATTCGTGTGTGACCACGTGTGTGAGTGTATGTGTGTTTACTGACTTGGACTCTTTCCTTTGAGGAGATGAGGCCTTTCTCTTTTCCCTGAAAATAACTGCTTGTCCTCCTCCTCCCTCCCCAGCCCCACCTGAGTCCATGTGGACATAGGAGAGGTTTATTTTCTCTATTTTACCACAAGATCAAACCATACTTGATTTAGGACTCACCTGAGAGACCCCGTGTTTGCTGGGGAGTAGTGCCTGAGCAGTGCATGATTCAGTCTAGAAAGGCATTGCTGTAACTCTCAAGTACCTAAAAATTTGGCTGATGGTTCATGAATAAGAGCACTTGGTGGTCTCAGCACAGTGGAGAAGAGATATTTACAAAGTGAAGAGAAACCAGAATATGATGGAAATGGGGTGGGTCAACCGACTGGGTTTGGTGTTCTAGGGTTTGCAGTTCTGTGATTATATTGAGCCGCCTAAGTAAATGTTGGCTGTCACATTTAATAAGCATTTATTAAGCACCTGCTGCGTGCTAGGCACTGTGCTAAACGCTGACCCAGAAGCCCAGATTGCCTGTAGACAGAAGCTAGCTGTGTTGGGCAAGCAGGTCTTAGGAAACTCTGCCCTCACTTGGAGAGGCAGAGATTAGGTATGTGCTGGATTGCGTGACACAATACCCTTGGACACGTGGACTTGTCAGTGGTACGAGAATAATGAGTCACAAAATCTTAGAGCTAGCAGGGGATCGTCTAGTCCCTCCCCTGCTTGAATCAGGGACCTCCCTCCACAGCACTGGGCCCAGAGAAGGAGTGCTGCAAGCACACCCATTTATATATAAGAAGTTTCTTTTTGTAGACATGGTATTGTTCAAGCAGACTTTAAAACCCCACCAGTTTGTTTTTAGGAATACCACAGTTTGTAGGAAAGACTGCCCAGTGTAGACCTTTGGCCTGTCTAAATGAGAGAACAGGATTGAGATGTTCACACTCAGCAGAGTTGGGTTGGCTGCCTGGAGGCCCCCGGAGCTCTAGATGTGGGACTTCATGATCTTAATGACATCCCATTATGCTAGGCATGGCCCATTAAATACAAACATCTGTTCTACTCTGTGCCCTCAGGTCCTCGATTAGGTAACTCACCAGTGCCCAGCATTGTCCAGTGTTTGGCAAGGAAAGATGGGACAGATGACTTCTATCAGCTAAAGGTAAGGTGGAAGAGAAGGCCTCAATACGTCTGACTCCTGCATCCTTTTTCTTTTTCTTTTTTTTTTTTTTGGTGGTGAGGCAATTGGGGTTAAGTGACTTGCCCAAGGTCACACAGCTACTAAGTGTTGTATCTCAGGCCAGATTTGAACTCAGGTCCTTCTGACTAAGGGCCAGTGCTCTATCCACTGCACCACCTAGCTGTCCCTGACTTCTGCATTCTTGAAAGAATTGTGCACCCTAGGTAGCTTCACGCCAGTGTTGCTTCCAAATGAGTAATGCTGACTACATTTTTACCTTGGAGCAGTTAGATTCACACATTCTGTCACTCTGTACAACTCTTGGTTTAGATGTACATAAAATTAAAGAGCAGTCCCATTTGAAGAGCCTGTTCAGTCTTCCATGTGCATTAGAAGTGAAACCTCTCCAGTAATGCAGTCTAGTCCTAGCAGTCATTTTGTTTAATGAACAACAAATATAGTAAGGCTTTCTTTTCCTTTTCCCTAAAGATTCTGACCCTCGAAGAAAGGGGGGAACAAGGCCTAGAGACCCAAGAGGAAAGGCAAGGCAAGATGCTGTTACACACGGAGTATTCTCTGCTTTCCCTTCTCCACACTCAGGATGGCGTAGTTCACCACCATGGGCTCTTCCAGGTAAAGTGTGGAAATGGGGATGGCTGGCTCTGTGAGCCTCCTGCCACTTCTTGGGCTGGGCTTGGTATTCTGCTTTCCAGGAGCTCTTCATTTCATTTTTAAAAAGAATTTTTTATTGTTGTTTTTTGTTTTTATATCACTTAGTTTTTTCTCTTTATCCCATCCCCCTCCCCAGAGAGCCATTCCTCACAATGATATTTCCTATGCAGAACCACCCCAGCAAATCAGGGCTTCCTTCGGAGCTGAGGGAGGTTATTCAGAGGACATTGTTTACTGGCTGACCCAGTGGTCTTGGTCACAACAATCAACTCTAGCCAGAGCATAAACAGTGTACATCTGAAATGGTCATGATTTCTTTGAAAAGCAGCTTTTCTGGGTAAAGGGGGAAGGCCAGGAAGTCTCTTAAAGACACAAAGAATTTGGGGATAGATTTGAGCTCTCTTCTCCGAAGTTGCTTTGACCTCTTGAGAAATGTAAGAAAAACAGTAAAACTAGAAGTCAGGGGCTTCCATATCACCTCAGAATGACCAGAAGTAGATTCTTTCCCAATGAATAAGATACCTCCTTTAGGTATTTGTTGGACTCTTCATTCAGGCCCTCTGGTCCTTCAGGCAGAAAATGAGTCACCCAAGTGGCATTGGCTGGTTAAGAATCCTTTTGTAAATGTGCTCGTTAAAAATCTGTGTCCTTAAAGGGGCTCTAACACCTTTAAAATAGAAGAGAAAAACCATTCTTAGAAAAGAAATGAGTTACCAGTCCTGACCAGGGCATTTTCCTACCTGTCCTGGAAGGGGCTGATTATTTTGGGAGCCCTGAAAGCATTAGCTGAGGGCAAAGAGTAGTGGCTACAAAAATGGCTCCATTCCCAACTTTCCCCTGATGGGTGATCAGGTGTAGCTGTACCTTTGCTCCTTATCGGTTTAGTCTAGAGGAGTGAGTGGCAGTTGTCTCCCTGAGGTCTTTGTGTTTAGATTTATTTTCAGAGACTCTGGGAGATAACCCAGAATAGTAATGAGTAACTCAAAAGTTTCTTATCCAGGGTATTTTGAGAGTAGTTTTATTTTCTTAACAGCTTACACCAGAGGACCAGAGTCCTTATTTTAAAAGTACTTGTGATTTAATCATTTTTTGTACATATTATTTTATTGGGGGGGGCAGGGGGGTAAGGGACTTGCCCAGGGTTACACAGCTAGTAAGTGTCAAATGCCTGAGGCCGGATTTGAACTCGGATCCTCCTGACTCCAGGGCTATTGCTGTATCCACTGCACCACCTAGTTGCCCCTTGTATATATTATTTTAAAAGACTAGAGAGCTTTAGTAGTCGATCAGTAAGTATTGAGCACATCCTTTATACCAGGCCCTGCACTTGGTGCTCTGGGTAATAATACAACATATAAGGCATGATCTCTGACCTCAAAGATCTTAGAATCCAGTTGGGAAAATAAAGTGCATGCATACGAAGATGATACTACAGCCACTATATGATAAGCACCAAATGTTTGGTACACGTAGTAAGTGCTTCAGAAGTTTTAAGGAAAAGGAGAGGACTCCTGGGGTGGTGGAGAGATCTCTGGGGTTCTAGTTGCAGCCCTGCCACTGAACTGTCTTTGGGACCAGACTTGGCCAAGTCTCTTCAGCTCTGGTCCTCAGTTTCCTTATTTATAAAATGACAGTGTTGGACTAGATGACTTCTGAGGTCACTTATAACTGGAGTTGTGTGATTCTAGGGAATCTTTAGTGACCTCAGGTGACCGTGAGCAGAGCACATTGTGAAAGAGAGGGGGAGGAGGATGAAAGACCCGAAGTCTTTCTTGTTATCTGTCTTAGTTCAGCTTAAATTTTAAAGAAGGAAAGTGGCAATAAACCGTCACTCCCTGAGTAGGATTGATGATGTTGAAAGAAGTAGTTGTGCTTTTCAAAAAGATTTGTGAAAATGGATTTGAAATCCTAGGTGCTTCGCAGAGCTGACTTCTACTTAACCTTTACTGTCTTATTCACAAAATTTACACTGCTACCCAGATATAATAAAATGCACAGTAAACATTTATTAAGCACCTACTGTGTGCCAGCTACTATGTTAAACACTAGGGACGCAAATAAGAAAGCCAGTCTCTGCCTGGGGATGACAGTACACGAAAGCCAAAAGAAGCAGTAGAGATCATGCCAGAGGGTACCTGGTTTGGGGGCATAATGAAGACGATGGTAGAGTCAAAACCAAGCAGAGAGCTGGGGGCAAGTAAAGAGATTGATTGCTGGGATTCTGAATGCTCTGTGAAAGGGGCCTTTGGGAGGAGGTCTTTCTCTGCCTTCCAATCAGAGGGCTGAAGCAGTTGAGGACACCGTTGAGGTGTGAAGATCAAGGCTGAAGCAGTATTCATGATGATGAGTTGTTTCCTGGTGATGAGTTGGGGGTGGGGGTGCATGATGATGACGGGTCAGAACCAAGCAGAATGGCCGTCGGTCAATGAAGAAATGGCTGGGATGTTGAAGAACGATATGACAGGGAGAATGAACATCTCCATCTCATCCTCCTAAGAGACCCCAACAAAACACACCTTGTGAAAAGAGTGGCAGAAGGGGCAGCTAGGTGGTGCAGTGGATAGAGCACCGGCCCTGAAGTCAGGAAGACCTGAGTTCAAATGCGGCCTCAGACCAAACACTTGACACTTACTAGCTGTGTGACCATGGGCAAGTCACTTAACCCCAATTGCCTTAAAAAAAAAAAAGAGTGACAGGAAGCCTATCAGTCATCTGATGCTTTTGCTTTAAGTGTGTGGCCCTGGGTTCAACTCTCTTTAATTCTGATAGAAACATGGAGCTCAATGAGCACTTGTTTGTGAATATAAGTCCTTCCATTTATGAACATGGCCACTTCTTTGGCTGTAGAATTTGGCAATGTTTGAATGTGCTACTCTGAGCCACCATGCCAGTCACTGAACAAGGCTTGTTGGGTGTAGCTCTTGGCACATCAAAGGTTAGGTAATGTTGACTGGCTCCATAATTACTTCATTTCAGTCCCACAAGCATGTACTACTTCTCAGGCCCCTCTTTCTTGTTCTGCTGTACATGGGTAGGCTTGGTTATTTGATTTTTTAAAGTCTTCTGAATGAGTTCCTTTATATACTATAATCCAAATGGGCAGCTCCAGTGCTAACGACTGTCACAAAACCACTATCCATGTTTCCTTTCCTCCTAGGACCGAGCTTGTGAAATTGTTGAGGATGCGGAATCTACTCGGATGGTCAAGAAAATGAAAAAACGTATCTGTCTAGTCCTGGACTGCCTTTGTGCACATGACTTCAGTGACAAGACTGCAGATCTAATCAACCTCCAGCATTATGTCATAAAGGAAAAGCGACTCAGTGAAAGGGAGACGGTAGTTATATTCTATGATGTAGTCCGAGTGGTGGAAGCCTTGCATAAGGTGAGCAGCTGCCAAGCTGAGCTGTTCTTTTTTCTCCTCTAGAGCATAGAGTGTGTCACTTTTCAAGTACTAGATAAAGGGTAAAGATGAATGAGTATCTTAGCTTGCCTAACACTTAGAATACTTACAGTGAATCTTGCCAAATCCTTCTTTCTTTTCAACCTTCTGAGTGGTGATGGGGGCTCAGCAACTTCAAGAAAGATAGTTGTGGAATTAATTGTAAACCAGGTTAGGAAGTAGCACCCACGCACAGCAGATTTCTTGGGTTTGAGGCCCTTCAGACCTAGAAACTGGCCAGAGGATGACCTAGAAGAGTCAATTACAAATAGGCTCAATTGATTAGAATATTAGAAATCAGTCTGAAAGCTTTGTCATTCTATTGCAAATAAAAAGTAGGCTCCTGATTTTGAGTCCCTGGTTGTCCTCTAAGCTCTCATCATAGCTAGAGCTGTCCGCATCTGGCTCGCTTCCCCTTTTATAAATCAATTGGTAATACCATTTCATCCACAGTATTGGATATTGTGTTGATCAACCAGTGATGGCACTATAGGGAGTGGTCTTTCTCTCTTGGCAACTATTCATAAGCAAAAGAATGGTAGGGTGGGTTTAGTGAGAACTTTTGGTGCTACAATCCAGTTTCCTTCCCATATGAGTTAACAAAGTTATAGAATTCTTGGGCTCTCAAGGGTTGTACAACAGAGTAAGAGCTGAAAAGGAAAGCATTTCTGACTTGTGGGAGAAGTTTCTATCATTAGAGATATTCAAGCAGATGCTCTGTGATCAGTTTCTTTGGGGACATTTTAGAGTTCATGCCTTGGGCCCAATGGCCCCTAAAGGCCCTAAGGTTTTATAAGCCTTGAGTTTGTTGTGAGTGTCTAAATAACCCAAATCCAAAATCAGTATATTCTCAATACCTGTTGTTTTTCAGAAAAATATTGTGCACAGAGACCTGAAACTTGGCAATATGGTGCTAAACAAAAGGTAAGCAACCTTTTTCTCACTGTCTCATTAAAACCTTGAGATTGAGGGAGGTTGTATGTGATTTTGTCAACAATAGCACAAATTTAAGAGGATTAAATGTCAAGTCCAACAATTTGGGTTCAGAAACTTACACGGTATGGGGGTGGTCAGGCAGTAGTTTATGTGGGAAAGACTGGGGGGGTGATTAGATTCAGCTCCACAAAAATCCAGAATGTGACATGGCAGCCAAGAGAGCTGACAGAAGTCTTAGGCTGACTTCAAGGACACAGGGGCCAGCACAGAGGAGATGGCAGTCCCACCATACTTTGCCCTGTTTATGCCACAGCTAGATCGCCTTCATTTTAGAAAAGATATTGACAAGCCTTATACCATTTCCGTAGGACAGTGATTATTGTAGAAATAGGACTGGAAATCATGTAATATATAGATACCAGTTGAATGAACAAGAGGTGTTTAGCTTGGCAAAGAAAATATGGTCTTAGCTCTTCAGATATTTGGAGAGAGCTTTGTGAAAAAGCTCTTGTCTCCCTTGGCCCCAGAATGCAAAGCAACTGCAGAGAGGCAGGTTTCAGATAAAACAGAAAACTTCTACCAGCCTGCCCCAAAGTAAAATCAGCGTTTTTGTAGGTCATGGGTGAGTCTCATCGGAGGTCTTTGAGGAAGGAGACTAGGGGACCACTTGTTAGGGGTATTATGAGCAAGTGAATTCCTCTGCAAGGACGAGTCGGACTCTGCGTTCCTCCCAGCTCTGGGCAGCCTTCATTTCTTTCAGCTGCCACTAATTTTAAGCTCCTTTCAGTGACGCAGAAGCCTCTGCTTTCTTAGAATCCCCAGTTCAGGGAACCCACTGCCCTGAGAATATCACCATGAATCAGCCTGGGCCCCTTATCTCCCCACACAGGGTAGCCCTGTGTAGTTATATGTACACACAGTTCTCATCAGGGCATGGATGCAGTCCTCCCTTGTTCTTTGAGGCTGCTGCCCCTTTCCAAACTATGGTATCCCACCAAAGCAGGAAAGACTGTGAGGACAGGCTCTAGTGGATAAGGCTGTTTGGTAAATAGCCTAATGCAGAGGGGCTCGTCACCAGGGTGATTAGAGAATGATGAGGTTTTCTTAAAGGTCCTTTCCAAAGTTACAGATCTGTGATCTTGGAAGTGCAGAGGCTAAAAAAATACAGTGAGAAATGCCAAGGATTCGATTCTTTTATCCCCTCTTGCTGTTGATGTACCAGGAAAGATAGACTCTCCTGGCTTTCAGAGCCAAAGGTAATTACCCCTAGAAGTGTTAGCTGAAGGCCTTCCATCCCTTCCTGAAGAGGGAAGAGAAAGGACGTGGCACAACAGGTCAGTGGCAGTCCTGGCTCAGGCAGTAAGGTAGCAGCTACTTCCAGCTAGTCTGCTTTCTGTGGAAACTCTGAGAGTGTCACGATCTGACCCTGTGGTAAGGAACAAGAAGATCTGCAGGAGCAAGTGGTGGGGGGGGTGCCTCTCAGGGCCTCCCTTGACTTCCAGCTGACTGAAGCGTCAGCAGTAGATTTGAGGAGGCAGAGGGAGAGGGCAGGAAACAAGTATTGATTCCCACCTGCTATGCTCCAGGAACTGAACTAAGCCTTATGTCACTTGATCCTCACAGCAGTCCTGTGAAGGAGGTGCTGGGGAAACTGAGGCCAGCAGGGTAAGCGACTCGCCCAGGGTTACCAGCTAATGTCTGAGGCCAGATTTCAACTCAGGTCTTCCTAACTTCAGACCCCACACTCTCTCCACCGCACCACTGAGATACCTCACAAAATCTGGGGCTGAAGGACACCCTCCAACTTCCACAAAGAAGTGGTTAAAGGTGTCGTCAGACACAAGTGCCTGCATGTGCACTTCGAGGAGTACATTGATTCTTTTCTTTATTGATTAACCCTTTTGGAGTGTTTTTGTTGTTGTTGTTGTTTGGCTAGGCAATGGGATTAAGTGACTTGCCCAGGGTCCCATAGCTAGTAAGGGTTAAGTGTCTGAAGCCAGATTTGAACTCAGGTCTTCCTGAATCCAGGGCCGATGCTCTATCCACTGAGCCACCTAGCTGCCCCAACCCTTTTTGAGTGTTGAAGCAAATCCTAGACTTGGGCTAATGAAGAGGGTCAACGGGAAGTGGCTCCTTTGAATGTCTTAAAGGTGATACTAATACTAATCAGTCTCAGAGAAATGTAAACCTGGCTTCTTCAGCTGAGATTCGGGCTGTTTGGAATTGGAAGGCTGTGGCTTAGAGCTAGGAGGTGGCCTGTGTTAGTAGAAAGCACTGCATTCCCATCCCTCCTCTGGTCTAACTAGAGTGGTGCCTTTGTCACATCATGGCTCTAACACTTGGGTGGTTCTCCGTTCTGACTGGAGAGGACTGATAGTAAATAAAGCATGCCCCTCCTCCTCTAGGCCTTGAAGGTAGACAACAGGTATGGAATGAGGCATGGGTTGTCAGAAGTGACAGTGATCAAAGAAACATTAATAAAGCATTTATTTTAGAAAGAAAAGGTAAAAGACATGTGGTTCTCACTGTCCATATTCAGTGATATTCTGGAAGGGGAGGTCTGTGTGACTAAATAATAAACAGTTTAATCACTATTTCTGTCAGTGACCCAGTAACCCATTCAGCTAGTCCGAATCTTCCCTCTGTCATTGCTGCGAGTACCCCCGTGGATCTGGAAATCCAGCAGAGACCTCGAGTGTCCAGAGGCCCAAGTGCTGCCTCAAAAGCTGGGCTCTCTCCATTGCCCTGGTAACTTTGTGATTCAGCCACTTCCACCTTTTGGCTAAGCTTTCATCAGTTCCAAAATCCCCCTCTTTACCTTGAAGCAGATTTTTCTCATGCCTTTCAATTGGTTAAGTTGCTTCTGCTCTCAGACTTAAAAGAAGGGAATAAAGAAACTAATGACTTCCAGTACAGTTTCCTGGTAAAAGAGCCAGGAACTCTTCTGGTGTAGGGAAAACAAAAAAGAGAACTTTTTACAAGAAATACATGATGACAGTGGTGATCTTCACCCCTTGATGGAAAAAGTGAAATGACTGAATCATCATTGGGGTTACTTTAGGTTTGAGACAGTTCCTTTTTTTTCCCCTCTCTCTCTCTCTTTTCCCCTCTCCCTCTCTCTCCTTCTGCTTCTCTGTCTCCCCATCTCTCTCCTCCCTTTCTCTCCCTCTCTTCTTTCTCTTTTCTCTCTTCCCTTTCTCCCCCTCTCTTTAAAGACTTACATACCAAATTCCTAGAAAAGGAAAAAACACAGTGGCAGCCAACAGGGTCATAACTGAAGTGTGACTCATTGCGCTAACACTGCCACAAAGCTCCCTGCCCTGCCTGCCTGCTTAGCAGGGGCCTGGGGGGCTTTTGGTTCCCAGATGGCTTGCTCTTTCCCCAGAGCTGGCTGGGGATGTTGCATTCCCAGGGAGACTGGTCCTGGGAGCCCTATATACATTCTTCGGTGTTTCTTAATTGTTTTACTGGGTCTATGTTAGGCTGTGCCCCTTGAATAGAACAGCATCATGATAAGATGGTAGGACCATTGGGCTTAGGTTGACTTTAATATCAGTCCCAGCTTTAATATACTTACTGTGGGGTCTTAGGTGAGTCACTTCCCTTTCTGACTTTTCCTCTCTGTAAAATGAAGGTGGTTGTTTTTATATTATCTACCCTATTGGTAAGGGACAGCTTTAGAAACTTTTAAATGCCCCCCAAAATGAGAAGTAGCTGTTACCATGTGTCCTCTGGCTTATTATAATGGGGGAGGGAGGTCATCTATTGGAAAAGAGACAGTAAATCTGTCTTGTCAACCGAAAAGCTGCTTCAGTTCTGTTGTGTCTTCTCCATATTTAATCCTCAAACACATTCTGCACAGTGTCACATCATTCAGCCATGCAGAGTAACATTTTCAAATATATTCCATTGAATTCTGTCATTATCTTAGTGAGTGGGGCCGGGTGAGGCTTCTCCTGCCCTGGGAGAGAATGTTTCTTTCCCGAGGTATCCTGCTCTCTCATCTCTGTCAGATATGCTTATTATCTCCATGACTTTGGGCCAGGCTGTCTGTTCCCCTCTCTGACCCTCAGTTTCCTCATCTATAAAATGAAGGAAGTTAGGCTAGATGACATTTCAGGGCTTGTTTTGCTCAAAAATCCCATGATTATCTAAGCTAGAAACGGCAAAGACATGCCCTGCCTCCAGGGTCACTTCATCTTATATGCAGGGCTAATGGAGCCAGAATGGTAAAGCTAGATTGGCTCTTCTTGAAGGTTTCAGGAGGTTCCTCTTGAACATTTTGATCCAGTGCTGTAGTTCTGTCCCACTAGTTTGCCGTCAAGCAGGATGCTGCATGGTATAGTGGAAAGGTCCAGACCTGAGAGAAAGACCTAGCTTCTAGTCCTAACTCTGCCACTAAGTAGTCAAGGGACTTTAGGTAAGTTGATTTCCCTTTCTGACCTCAGTTTCCTCATCTGTAAAATGATGGAGTCAAGCTGGGTGATATCCAGGCTCCTATCTAGCTCTGATATACTGACATCATGTAAGATTTCTCTTTTTGCCACAGTTCTACCATTCTGGTGACCAGGATCTATTGGCTTTTCCCAAAAACTGGAGCCTCGGTTTTCTTTCTGGTTGAAAAGCAGACCTCATAGGATTGTCTTTGTCTTATATATGCTGGCCTTTTCCAGCCAGCACATTCACAGATTTGTGAAAGGTCTTTAAAATCTCTTGTATTGTCATCAGCCAGGCTCATAAAAGCACGCCTCTGACCCCTTGGATTTGACCAGACTTTATCCCTCCCCACTTTCTGCCTTACTTGACTCTTTGGTATTGTGGCTTCTAGCCCTGAAGGAAGGACTCCAGTTTGGCTGGGCCTTAACCCTGTTCATGGGGAACGCTGAAGAAGCCTCTTCCTCCCATCTTCAGATTTGGAAAGTCAGGTGTCATTAGCCAGCATCTGTTAAGTGCCTGCTGTGTGCCATGCACCGTGCCAGGTCCTGGAG